TTCTGCAATTGTGAATTTTGGATCCGCAAAGTGATTTTTTGAGCATGCATATCAGCAGAGGGAATGTAAGTTGATCTGCAGAAAATCGAAGCAGTTTTTAAATAGGAAAGACCTAATATGACAAAAGAATGAAGTTTTCTTTGTTTAACAAGTTACTATCATCGCTTTGTAGAGATATTTTCTAAAATCTCTTCCTTTGACCCATTTGACTAGAAACAATACTAAATTTGTGGGGACTCAAGAATGTGAATAGCGTTTTTTAGAAATGAAGAGTAGACTTTCTGTTCTAGTTCTTACTCTACAGTCTCCAGGGGAAGGGTTCATGATATATAGCGATGCCTCAAAATATGGCTATTGTAACACTCTGAAAATTTTTATCCGTTTAAAATAAGAAAGAGGGGTGCTAATTTTTTTAAATTTATCTTTGGCATATTTAGAAAATAGAATCGATCAATGTCTTATCCTTATTAGTCGTATTAAGTCCATAAGGTAGAATGATAGCCTAATCCATTTATTCCAATTTTCCTTTTTGAGCTCAACAAAATTTAAATTTGTGAAAGTTAAGGCTATGTTGTTAAAATTCAAAGAAACGTTAATTTTATTCACGTTATTTAATTATTTAATAATGTATTTCTTTAAGATAAGTTTTGGTGGTTGAGATAATATTTTAATTTTATTACTTTTCAATTACATTAAAATTTTAAAGATAATTGAGATAATATTTTGTTTATATTTCTTTTAAAATTATTATTTTATCTGGTTATTTTGAAATTTTAGAGATTGTTGAGATAATGTTTTAATTATCTCTTTTGAATTCATTATCTTTCAAAAAAATTGAAATTTAAAAATGAAAAATGACTGAGATAATGTTTTAATTTATCTCTTTTAATCACATTGGAATTTTAAATGGTTGAGATAATTTTTTATTTTATTTTATCTCTTTTAAATTAAAATTTTAATTTAATTTTAAAGATGATTGAGATAATATTTTTTTAAATTCATCGTTTAAATTCATTAACTTATCTGATTACTTGAAAATTTTAAGATGGTCGAGACAATGTTTTGATTTTATCTCTATTTATTATTTTATACTTAGAAGTTTTAAGAATCAGAACCAAGTCCCATAAATAGTCACTTAGAAGTACCATCAACAGTTAACCTTTCATCTCATAAATTCACATACCTCCAATAGAGATACTCAATCATACCGATTTCTTTCAGTGATTTTATTTCTGAACTAAATATTAATTCAGCGCCTTGTTTTTCTCTTCAAACCCAATTTCTCGTAAGATTTGAAGGTAAGATACCATGTACAAGTTGAATTGCCCTTTCAATGTCGTACATTTTACATAATTTTATACATGAAATAATAATTGACCTACGGGTCATTAACGAAATGAAATATGAGATTTTCTTCAGGTTTCTCAAATGTTAATTAACAATGCTACATATACAACACATGTGTTGCAACATTGGATTGAAACCTCTCACAAGGAATGTGGACCCCTCTATTAAAATAGTAGTGGGCCCCACCTCTCTTGTGAGAGGTTGTAACCCAATATTGTACAAAGAGCATTATTCTTACAAAATTTCAGATTAGATTGAGTCAAGCTCAAATGGTGGCTAAGTAGTGCATCATGTTACCAAATAAAAGTTCAAGAAACAATTACCATAAAAAAATATTTATTAGAATGTTTAAAATCTTTATTTTTATTTAAATATCTTAAATTTTTGAATTTAAGTTTCGAGTTTATTTTTATTCCATTATATTAAATAATGAAAAAAAATATGTTTGAATTTTATGTTATATTTTTCGGGTTAAGTCATGAATTATGAAATGATATTAGTAACATCTCAGGTTTTAAATCAATAAAATTCGGGGCATTACAACCTTAGTTGTGTTTCGATGCATAATGAGAAAGTTTAGCTTATAATTATAAATGGTTGAAAAATATTAGATGAGTTATCTGATACATGACTTAGAGCTGGTAGTAGTGATTATAGCATTGAAGATTTGGAGATATTACTTGTATTGCGAGAGATGTCAGTTATTTACAAATCATAAAATTTTAAAGTATATTTTGATTAGAAAGAATTGAACTTGAGGCACAGAAGATATTTAAAACTGATAAAATATATATGCCCATAAAGTCGATTATCACTTGGGAAAGACCAATATAGTTGGTGATGCTCTTAGTAGGAAGACATCTAGTTCTACAACTCAAACTAATGTAATTCTTCCTTTTTCGACAAGTTCAACTAACATATAGTTGCTCAGTTATCATTGACCAGCCTAGGAGCATTGTTTGTTAATTTTCAGGTGAGACCTACCTTGATTGACACAATTAGAAAAGCTCATACTCAAGATCCATCATTTAGTAAATTGAAAGAAAAAGTTAGTAATTATCCAAATACAAGTTGTATTATTTGAGATGATGCAAAGTTATTTATAGAAAGCAAATTATGTGTTCGTGACGATCCAAAGTTAAAGAAAGAGATTCTAGAGAAGGCACATAGTTCAACTTATGCAATGCATGCATATAGTACTAAAATGTATTGCAATTCAATAAAAACTATTGGTGGCACAAAATGAAAAGAAAAATAGCTGAGTTTGTATCCAGATTTCTTATTTATCAGAACGTGAAACCAAATCATCAGAAAATAGCTAGACTTTTCTAGACGTTGCCTATTCCCGAGTGAAAATAGGAGCACATTACTATGAATTTTTTAATTGGGCTTCCTCATACTCAGAGTGGTTATGATGGCATTTTGACATTGTACACCATTAACAAAAATCGCTAGATTTTTTTCGATTAAGTTACTTATTAACTAAATAGACTAACGAAAGTATATGTTGATGATCTAGTAAATTATGAATCACTAGTATCCATTATTTCATACATTTAGTTAGTTATTAACTAAATAGATTGGCGAAAGTATATGTTGATGATCTTGTCAATTATGAATCACTAGTATCCATTATTTCATACAAAGATTCTTGATTCATTTCTAAGTTTTGGTCTAGTTTGCACAAAGTCATAATACTAAATTACGTTTCAGTATATCTTTTCATCTATAAACAAATGGCAAACCAAAAACAAGTACACAAACTTTGGAAGACATGTTAAAGGAAATTAGGATACCCATCTACGTTTGATGGAGTTTTCTTATAACAACTGCTATTATTCTAGTATAGAAATGTTTCCTTTTGAAACACTATATGGTAGAAAACACAGAACTCCAATTTTGGGACGAAATTGGTGAAAAAAAGTTATTTGGTCATGAATTTGTTCAAATTACTGTCAATAAAAAGAAATAATTAAAGAAAAGCTAAAGATAGATATAAAAAAGTTATAGCAACAAATGGTGAAAAATCATGAATTCGAAGTTGGGGATAAAGTTTTTCTGCAATTATTACCATAGAAAGTTGTTCTCAGATTTGGTACACGAGAAAAATTGAGCCAGATACTTCGGCCCTTATATAAGATTATTGAGTGAATTGGCACAGTTACTTATCATTTAGCATTGGTAGCTGAAATGTCTGGAATTTACGATATATTTCATGTTTCTATGCTTTGTAAGTATATCCCAAATTTATGTCACGTGTAACAATCCCAACCAGTTGAATTCAAAGATAATCTTGCTTATGAAGATGAACATGTTGAAATACTAGATAGAGACGAACAAGTTCGACGAAGTACGAAGTCAGTCTGTATCGTTGGTTAAAGTTTCGTGGCGACATCAAGCAGTAAAAGGGGCGGCATAGGAAAGTGAAACCCATATGAGTTCTCATTATCCACGGCTCTTTAGTGCATAGACAATTGAATTTCGAGGGCGGCATAGTTTGAAAGGGGTGACTTTGTAATGCTCTGGCCAACATGTATCGATTTTGGATGTGAGTATTAACTTTTTTTATGACAAAGCTTTGTTTAGTAATTTGCTCTAATAATTTGATTTTCTTTTTTTTTTTTTTTGTTGCTGAACCAAATCAAGCCAATGTGGAACCATTCGGTTTAGTTCGATTTGGTTCTTGTTTGATTTCATAATTGTTGATGAAATCGAGGATTTCATTGTAATTTAACCATTGATTCTTGATCCAATCCAATTCTGATTAACGAGCAAAACCATATCCATCCCAATTGAAGGAGTATGCTCTTCGATACTAAGATCCCGTTTGACATGGCTTTAGAAAAGTCAAAATAAGTTTTTGAGTCCCAAAAGTTGCATTTGAATCGTTTGGCTAATTTTATAAAAGTTTTCTTCTAATAAGAATATTTTCTAAAGGAATGTGATTCAATGTGACTTTCTCTAAAAGTACTTCCAGAATATGAAGCTTTTTAAAAAATAGATCTGCTATTTGTAGAGAAAATATGCTTTCGAACTAATACAGAAGAAAATTGCAATTTTTTGTTGGACAATGACAATAGGAAAAAAAAACAGACAACAACATTTGTGTTAATTCTAGCAACACTGCTTCTGTCCAAGTAGAGAAACTGTTTTGAAATTTAGCTTGTATTTGACACCCATTTTGGAGAAGAATTTGATTTGGAATAGTGATTGATTAAAAAGTAAGGAGAATTTTTGAATTTATGTGTAATATTATTTTACTGATAGAATGTGTGGTTAAAATGAAGAATGAGAAAAAAATGAAAGTCGAACAAAAGTTTAGTATTCAAAGAAGTAGTTTCCTCTAAAAGTTTTTCTATAAAAAGCTCTTTTTTTTTTTCAACGGAAGGAATATGACCGTGTTTGGTTAAGCTTAAAAGAAGGTGGCTAGAAGCACTTTTTATTAAGAATGTTCTTCGCGCGCTTGGAGCTTGGCCAAACGTGCTATTGACCCACGGTCGGTCCGAACTGACGTCTGTCAAAAGTTCCGTTCGTTATTCTTTATGCGTCTCTGCAAGCATTCGAAACCAGATATTCGCGTCTGATCTTTTAAATCTCAGATATAATCCAAACCCTGATTGGATATAAATCAAGAAATCTCTGATAATCGTTCAATGGCTGAATCAAGATCCAGCCCAGGTGGGTTTTTTCCTCGATTTATTAGAATTTTCTGCAATTGCGTATACTACGAAAATCTTGGATTTTTCTTGATAAGAAACCATTTCTTTTGCGCATTTTTTCATATTATGTTTCTTAAACAACCCCTTTATTTTGATAATGGTACGTACATATTTGATAGAAATGTTAATTTTTTACGAGTTGATGATAATTGAAATTGTGGCAGAAAAAGATGTGAAAGCGCCAAGTGTATTTGATAGGGCTAAGGAAGAGATTGTGGCGGTATTTCACCATGAGAAGATCCCGAATCATCGTCACAAGGAAACTCATGGACTGCGTAGTGACCTCAATGAGGACACATCTATGAGTGATGTCAAGGCTCCAAATGCATTTGAAAGAGCAAAGGAGGAAATTGAGGCCATTGTGGAGGCAATTCATCCAAAGAAGGAATCGAAAAGTTACTGTTCATCTTCACATGGTGAAAAGAGGTTAGGAAATCAACTGTTCATTTAAGATGAATTGCAGGGATTGAATTAATTTCTCAACAATTTATGATAATTTGCAGAAATTCTGGCTCAGTTGATCATTTGGAGTCAAAGAAACCAGAACTTCCTTCAGGTACATAGTGTTCTGTGATTGTTAATAGCCCTTTGAAATTTTGCACTTGTCATGTGACATGAGGAGTTCAGATGTCATTTCTTATTTATATATATGAAGAAACACCTTCTCTTGTGCAATCTTATGTTTAAGGGGTTTTTTTAGAAAGTGCTGGCTAATGTGGGAGCGATAAATGATCACTGGAAGCAGTAATTATATGATAACAAAATGCATACATGAAAAGAAGACATTTAGTTGAAAAGTGTAAAGAGGATATTTCATTCGAGCATGTAAGGCTGGGATGGAAAACAAGAATGCCTCTTCGATATGCTATAGAAGTATCATTTCCATTGGGTGGAAAATCTGTTGATAGCCATTGTACCAATCATCTGATGCTACTGTACGGTATTTCAGAATTGTAGGAGCGACCTAAATAGAGAGAGTTATCCATAGATTTTCCTCTTCATAATTAGGCAAATTTGTTGGAAAAGCTAAACCAGAATTGAAAAGAAAAATTATTCTTTAGCTTTGATAATAAATATGGGCGTCGCAAAAGCTATCAAAATCATTGGACCAAATCAAAATCAGACTGGAACCAGCTGGTTCGATCCAGTTCTACTCAAGTTGTAATCAGCCCGATCTTTGGTTCTAATACCAAGAACCACAACCGATATTTTTACCTTATATTTTAACGATGGCTGGTGCAATGCACAACCATTTTACATTTTTCTTATGAATTTCACCATAGTATATCAATCACATATTCATTTTAATATGGTGTTTTTTATAATTTAGTCAAAAGGATCCATTTAAGTAAATCTAAATTCCATAGATGTAATTTCAGATTGGTAATAGGCTTGGGTACCTTACATCCTTCCCAATTTATCATTTTGAGCCCCTCAAAGATTCAAGAAAATAGAATTGATATTGGAACATGTTTTTAAAGAACTTATTCAAGTCAATAGTTAAGCATTTGATGTAAATTGTTATGTTAAATTAAATTTGGAAAATGCACATCATTAGCATCAATATAAAGCGTTTTAATATATAAATTATGAAGAATTTAGTTATTAAAAAATTTTAACTTGAGAATTTGTATAGTTCGACATTTCATTTGCATCGGTTAGTCAATTTGAGAACTCACAAGGAACCGAATTGGATCAAAACCGAACGGTTTAGTTCTAGTTCTAGTTCTTGTTCGGTTCCATACTTTGAGATGAAACCAATGGTTCCATTTTCAAAATACCCATTGGTACTTGGTTCAGTTATCTTAAGAACTATACTGATCCTGACCATATCCACTCCTAATAATAAATCATGTTTCATTACCCCAGTACTTAATGAAACAAGTTTCCCTCATCTGATTCTTGTAGGTGTGAACCTTACTTATTTGAGCCAATGCAAAATTCTGAGTCTACATTTTCTTGCCTCGTAGTTTCTTTTATTCATGCTTCGTTCGTGAAGAATTTAAAGTCATTCCATTCTTATGCCATGTTTTGACATCGACAGAGAAGGATGTCAATGGACCCAATCTTTTTGAACGGGCGAAAGAAGAGATTGAGTCGCTCATGTACAAAGGGGAGTCACCACACCATCATCATAAGGAAACTCATGGAAGAAGTGATGATATTGACGAGAGTACCCCAATCAGTGCAGTTAAAGGCCCAAATGTGTTTGAACGAGCAAAGGAAGAAATTGAGGCTCTTATTGAGACAATTCATCCGAAGAAGGATTCTGGTACTGCTGTTTCCTCACCAAAGTAGGAAAGGTGGATTGCCAGTGTCTCTTGGAAGAGGGTTGGAAAAGTTTTGCTCTCCTCCCAGTCATAATAGGGATTGATAGTTAATTGCTATGAAGAGTTATTTGTGAAAATTTACATGATAAAAACCACATTTTATGAAATTTAATGAGTTATAAAATTTCCTTTCATATTACAATTTCTTGGAATATGAAAGGCCTCCAGGTCAGAGAAAAATGACACCCCCAGCCCACCCCTACATCTGTCGTCCACTTCTCATGGGCAGTTGATTGATTAAAATGATAGTTGGATGGAGTTTTTTTTTGCTAAAAAGTTGCAGTTTAACAGCTAGGATTGGGTCGCGTTACACAAACCTTCAATATTCCATGAGTTTAGAGATGCATATCACGAATTAATGTTCAAACTCAGCTGTTGTTCGTCTTTCTTCCCCAAGGTACAAGGTCTCTGATTGACACTGACTATAATGATACTGCTTCATTTGTTGTTGTCATTGACTTCTCACAAAAGTCTCTTGTAAAGGTGAACCTTCACAGCCAACACCAATAAAATGGGAAAAAAAAATTTGACTACCACCATGGTTTTTTTCTCATATTATAATGAACTATGCATTGGGTGTATCAGTTTTTTTAACTATGCCAATTTCTTTTGGTTCATTAATTCTGCAATGTCATTAGCTATGCCAATTTCCTTGGTTTATTTATTCTGCTATGCCATTACACTGCGATAATTTGCCAATACGCATCAAATTTATTTCCTAGTGTTTTGTCTGGCTCTTCATTGTCAAAACCTATTAACCTAGTCATCAATTTTAACACGGTGCCTGGAAAAGAACATGTCCAAGTGCTAGCCTCTAAAATTGCCCCACCTCTCTTTTATGCATTGTACAATTTATTCTTTATGTTTGTGTTTCCGTACAACTGTTAATATGATCATGCTCGTTAATATGAACACTGCTGAGTACAGGGTTTTTTCATAGAAAACATACAGGAATTTGAAATGAAGGGAAATGATTGAAAGAGGGAAAATACACACACACGGACAAGATTCATAGAAAACATACAGGAATTTGAAATGAAGGGAAATGATTGAAAGATTGGAAGAGGGAAAATACACACACGGACAAGATTCATTCATTTCAAAATTCTGGTAAAATTCTGACAAAAATTCCTGTACTTGAGGAATTTTTCCGTTAATATATTGGGATTTCAAAAACTGCACTGACTAGTTCCATGATAATTTGCATTTTATGTTAGATTGCTTTGGAATGTGCATGTTTTCAAAAACTTAAGATCATTTTAATTAAGGCTCGTCAATCTCCCATTTATTCGAATATAAAATGAGTGCAAACTCAAGTTTAACGATACTTGTGTATAAAGTATGGATATCTTTCGATTTAAATCCAACCTTAGTATAAATCTCACAAAGTAATCATCGAAATATTAGGTAGCATGAAAGCTTTGAACATATTATTCCTTGTGATGATACCGATGAAATCATACACACAAGTATCAAGTGTTTCAAATTTCACACAATCTCGTTAAGCGCTTTCATGGCCTTGCGCTTCTTCTATTCATAAACTTTTAGAAGAGAAACTTCAACTCTCTATTGAAGCGGCACCATCTCGAAGTTTATATAGGTAAAGTTCTTGCAGTATCTTTGTCACTTTTAGAGATACCTTATCCACCGATTTGAACTTTAGTAAGAGTTATAGATACTCTAACCTCCTATCCGTGACAAACAATACTTCTAACCTATCATAGGGTTTTAAAAGAAAAAAATAAGTGTTGAATCTATCTACTTATTGAATGACTTGTAGTTACTCTTTAAACCCGAAGTATACTTGCTAGTATAGTCGGGTAGGGTTGCCGTCATTATTGGATTTAATTACGGAGTTTTAACCTCATCCTGCTAGTTGTTGTTCATACTAATTTTCTTGTGAGCGGTTTAGTAAATGAATCAGCCAAATTCTCATTTGACTTCACATAAGTGAAATTATTCTATCTTTGATTATTTTCCTCATATAGTCATGTCTTAGACTCGTGTGTCAAGACTTACCATTATACATTTCATTGTGTACTCTAGCTAAAATGGCTTGACTATCACAGAAGATAGATATGGAAGAATTATTCATTTCTCCTAAATGGAATTTCATACATTAAATCCCTAAGCTATTTAACTTCTTTTTTTTTTTTCAATTTTAGCCAAGCTACAAATTCGAATTTCATAGTTGAGTGAGTAATACATGTTTGTTTCTTGGATTTCCAAGAGACCACATCTCCTCCAAGGATAAGTATCCAACTTTAGGTTGATTTATTCTCACCAACACTAGGTATCCAACTAGTATCGATAAATCCTTCTAATATTGCCGAAAATTTAGAATATTAGAGACCTAGATCCTTGGTTTTCTTCAAACAACCAATAACCCTCCTGATAGCCTTCCAATGTTTTTTATTTGGATTGATAGAAAATCGATTAAGTTTACTAATTGCAAATGCTATGTCTGGTCTTTTACATAGCACAACATACATTAGACTTCCAATAGCACTTGCATACTCAAGTGGTGCTATAACTCTTCCATCATTATTGATAAGTTTCAAACTTGGATCAAATGGAGTATTAGCCTCTTGACTGTTCAAGTGTTTGAACTAATTAATCACATTTTCAACATAATGTGATTGACTCAACATATAACCCCCACTAGTCTTGGTGACTTTTGATCCTTTGAAAACTCGCAAGTGAACGGGACTGTAAACAAGTAATATCGTAGTGTGTAAAGTGTCGAACCCACAAGGACTACGTATTTAATCGAGTTCAAATTAATAGTAACCTTAATCGAATAGCACATAGATTGAGTTTTCTATACTAATATCTAAATTATCGATTAAATTAGAAAACAATTTAATTGGTTTTAATTCAAATATGTGAAAGTATTGTTAAGATGTCGAATCCCCCTATTATTCTAATTTTAGTGTAACAATTAAAGTGACTATTTAAAATAATTTATGTTGGTTAATGTTTCTAATTTAATTGAAAGTCTATCTCGTTAGCTAACAAATTTATTCCCCTCATGTGACTCTTCTATCTCTCAATGAAAGATGCAAGCATGATAAATGCATTGACAAGTACTAGAACACTTATTGAAACCATATAAAGCATGAGGTATATTTCTATCATATATTGAACCTTACAATATTTATTATAATGTGCTTAAAACATATAGTCTCTCTCGATAATAATAAAATTCACTAACAATTCAACTGGTGATCAAGTAATTGAAAAGAACGATAAAAACTATAATAAATATCCACAAATCAAATCAAATTAAGGTCAAAATACTTAATTAAAAATTAAAAAGATCATAATAAGGGTTCATCTCATCCTAACAATATGTAAAACTAGTCTAACATATCGAATTTCCTAAAAATCACATTTAAGTGGAAAGATATAACTCGATTTTTTTATAAATTGAGAAGATGAATCTTGAAATCTTGAATCTCTTCAATGATTTCTTGATAAATCTCTTCTTGGGCCTTCTCTTCTTTGTCCAAAAATCAAGTTTGAATCTTCACTTGATTGAATTCTTACAAATCTCTTTCAATTCTCTCACAAAAACTATGAATTTTCATCATTTGATGATAATAATTTATAAGTATTGGAGTATAATATGTATATCAGATGTCTCTAATATGTTTCTGCTATTAAGTATTTGTAGGAGTAGAAAATTGGTTAAAAATAAAGTCCAAATTGGTTTCCGAAGCGCTCCAATTGAATAAGGAAAGTTGTCTTCGCTCACAGATTTTTTTGTCTTTGTACAGTAGTAAATATTTTGTCCATAACTTTGTCTCTCAATATTCAATTGAAGCGATTTGAAGTGCGTTAGAAAGTTAACTCAAAGGGCTACAACTTTTATAAAGATATAATTTTTCAATTCGAACGTTTACTTTGCCAAAAATGGGTCTCAATTTCAGGCTAAAATTTTGAAATATAACTTGTGCGAATGAAANATTTTTGGTCTCTGCACAGCAATCAGTATTTCGACTATAATTTTCTCTTCCGATATCCAATTGAGGCGATTCAAAGTGCGTTGAAAAATATGACTCAAATGGCTACAACTTTTATAGAAATAGAGTTTTCCCAATTCAGACATTTACTATACCAAAAATGGGTCTCAATCCTCTACTAAAAATTTGGAATATAACTTGTACGATTGGAAATTTATTTTAATCATATTCCATTCATTTTTGAGTTTTAATTTCATCCAATTGTCCTAGAAATCTTCACAATATCATCTTGTGGTCCGAACTAACTATTGAATTTTCAATTTGGTCCTCAAACTTTGAATTTTGCCATTTTCACCATTTTTCGCTTCTTTAGGATATATTTTGTCAGAAGAACTATCAAATATCGTTATTTTAGACCCCGAATAAGTGTATAAAATACACTTATCAACTTTGATACGTAGTATGATATCCACTTGATCAAGATCTTTCATTTTAAATGTGGAAGATAGAAACCTCTTTGTTTCTTTTATACCTTGCATTTGATTGCTCACAATTAACATATCATCTATGTATAAACAAATGAGCACGACATGACTATCACATACTTTTGAATATAAACATTTATCAACACTATTATATTTAAATCCAAAATACATTATCGCTAAGTCAGACTTTTCGTGTCATTTCTTTGGTGTTTATTTTAATCCATATAAGAATTTTATTAAGCCTCTGTTTGGGCCACATTATTTTTTCATTCTCATTCTTCTGCTCATTTTCAACCACACATTCTTCAATAAAATAATATTTTCCATCACATCAATAACTTTTCCTTCTTTTTCAACCACACATTCCCCATCAATCCACTATTCAAAAATACATTCTTTCAAAATAATGTGGCTCAAACACACCCTAACTTGCATACTGTATCCTCATTTTCGGGTAGAATAAAGCCTTCCGGTTGTTCCATATAGACATTCATCGAGATTCCCATTTAAGAATGATG